GGCAGTATTGCCACAGAAGCAGAGTGATGCTTCTGTGATGCGACCAGGGGCCAAGGAATGCCCCAGGCTCTAAAAGCAAAAGAATTAAGGAACGCATTCTCTCCTGGAGCCCCCTCTCCTGGAGCTTCTCCTGGAAGCAGCCCTGTTGACATCTTCATTTTAGCCCTTCAAGATTCATTTTGGACTTCTGGAATCCAGTACTGTAAGAGAATAAATATATGTCGTTTTAAGCTACTAATTTTGTGGTATTTTCTGCGGCAGCAACAAGAAACTAATGCAGTGTGGAACCTGTTAACTGAACATACAAGGGCAGGAACATAGGCCTGTGGAGTTCCATTCCATAGCCCAGCACCTAGCACAGTGCCTTACGTAATAAGATAGGCACTTGGTGTATTTTTGGAGAGAAGGAAAAATGAAGTAAAGAAGAAAGGAAATAACTCAAGTAGCTCATATGAGCATGGTGTAGGTGTCTAGTTTCTGGATGAAGCAGAGAAAAACAGTGAGCTTGAAAACTTGAAGCCTACCCAGCACCCCAAATAGATTCTATGGTATTATTCTCGGACATCACTTTAAAAAGTTGAACAGTAAGAGACAGAAAATGATTGAGGAGCCAGATAAGTTACACAGTTTGAAATTCAAGTATCCCTGTTCATTTGAAGGGGAAAAACACAAAAGTGTGTACATGTGGATAAGTCATATTTTAATTAAAATTCAAGCTCAGACCTCCAATTTCTAGTTTATATAAAGGTACCAAGAACGTAGTTAATTGCAGTTTTGCTGCGTACAGTAAATAAAAGGGCTTTATTGGTTTATTTTATGACCAGTTTTAATTATATTTTTAAAATAAGTTATGCATTTACATGATACAAAAATCAAATATACAAAATGGTATACTCTCTCACCTCTATAGTGATTTAGTTTCCATTTTCACAGACAACCGTGTGTTACCTTTTTTTTTTAATATCCTTCCAAATATATAAGCAGGCAAATCCTGAATATTCCTTTTTTGTTTTCATGTTTATGGGATATGTACTTCTGCATTTTTTTTTACTTTTCTACTTTAGTGCTGTGTTGGAGTTCCTTCTATTTCAATGCATAAAGCCCTTCCGCATTTTCTGTGGTTACATGTTATTTCATGTATCAGATTTACAGTTCCACCAGCAATCATTGAATATGCCTATTTCTCTACATCAGGGATAGATAAAAATTTTTTGTAAAGGGCCCACAGTAAATATTTTAGGCTTGCAAGCCACATTGTCTCTTGCATTTTTTTTGTTTGTTTGGTTGGTTGGTTGGTTTAATTTTATTTCCAACCCTTCAAAAACATAAAAACCATTCTTAACTTACAGGCCATACAAAAACAAGTCAAGGGGACTCTGGTTTGCTAGCCCTTGCAAACATACAGTTATCAATTTGATGGATAAAACATTGTGATCCCAATATAGTTTTATTTGTATTTATCTATCAGTGAGGTCAAGTGTATTTAAGAATCATTTGTATATCCTTTTCTGTGACTATTCATATTTTTTGCCCAATTTCCTACAGTTTTTAATTTCATTTATAGTAACTTTTTAAAAGACTCATGAAGTGCAGTATTGAGAAGTGGGTTGTCACTTTTTGTATAGGGAAATCATCTCTTATCTGTAAAATGAATTGCGAATGTTTTCCACAGTTTTATCTTTTTACTTTGCTTCTAGAAGATTTTGCCATGCAGAATTTTTTTTTCTTTTGAGATGGAGGCTCACTCTTTTGCCCAGGCTGGAGTGCAGTGGCATGATCTTGGCTCATTACAACCTCCATCTCCTGGTTTCAAGTGATTCTCCTGCCTCAGCCACCTGTTTAGCTGGTACTACAGATGCATGCCACCATGCCCGGCTAATTTTTGTATTTTTAGTAGAGATGGTGTTTCACTAAGGCTGGTCTTGAACTCCTGACCTCGTGATCAGCCCACCTCGCCCACCACGCCTGGCCCTTTTGAGTAGTCAAATTTGTCAAACTTATGACTTGGGTTTTATGTAATGCTTTAGACCTTCCCCACTGTAAGATTATGAAACAGGCTGAGTGCTGTGGCTCACACCTGTAATCCCAACACTTAAAGGAGGCCGAGGCAGGCGGATCACTTGGGATCAGGAGTTTGAGACCAGCCTGGTCAACATAGTGAAACCCCATCTCTACTAAAAATATAGAAATTATTAGCTGGGCATCATGGCATGTGCCTTGTAATCCCAGCTACTCAGGAGGCTAAGGCAGGAGAATCGCTTGAACCCAGGAAGCAGAGTTTGCAGTGAGCTGAGATCATGCCACTGCACTCCAGCCTCGGTGACAGAGCAAGACTGTCGCAAAAGAAAAAAAGATTATCAAACAATTCTTTCGTATTTTTTTCCTTGTGTCTTTGTGATTTCATTTTGTCACTTAAATCTTTGATCCATTTAGGCTTTATATTGGTATGAGGAGAATAGAACCAACTTTTATTTTTTTCCAGTTGGCTCAACAGTTGTCCAAACACTACCTGTTGAACTATTCTTCATCTCCCCCCATCCCCCATTTGAAGTGCCACCTTTTATTACACACTATGCTGCAATATGTATTTCGATCTATATTTGTATATTCTGTTCTATTGATCTATCTCTACAGGCTTGCTTTTGAATTCCGACTTTCTCACAAAATTATTTGTGGTCACATTTCATTGAAGAAATATAGATAGAGTCAAAGAAGTAAATCTATCTGTAGCCGGCACCTGTACCCCTATTCTTTGCTTGCCTCACCTTCCATTACAAAGTAAGAGATGTCCCTGCCCCTGTTTTGTTCCTGGTCCCAGTTCTAGTCCACTCTAGAACTTTGCTCCTAGAGTTCACCCTGTCTTCCAGATCATTAATTTCTGCCTCTCTTGGATGATTGTCTTGCAAACATCCCTTAATAATATTTAAAAAGCAACCAAACAAAAAGCCCTTTTCCTAACACCTTCCCGTTATGATTACATTTCTCCATTCATCTTAAGAATAAAAATCCATTTCTGTACCTTCTGTTTTCCTCAACCCAAACCCACTCTATTCCTTTTTGTTTTTATTTTTGAGACGGAGTCATGCTGTGTTGCCCAGGCTGAAGTGCAGTGGTGCGATCTTGGATCTTGGCTCACTGCAACCTCTATCTCCCAGGTTCAAGCAATTCTCATGCCTCAGCCTCCCAAGTGGCTGGGATTACAGGCATGCACCACCCACCCCATTCTTACCTCAGTTGGTGAAATGACTCTTCCCAAGGTTACCAACAACCTCCATCTTGAGTCTCTTACTATATCTCACCTCAGTCTCAGCAGGATCGAAGCCAGGTGGCTTCGGTGACTCTGATCACTAGATTTCCTCCTGCTGAACTAGCCTGTTGAGTTGTTTCAGGGCTCTTCTTCTGCTGCTTTCTCATATCCATCTTCATCTTATCCCTAAGGAAGCTCATACAGTTTTGTGACTTTAAATATCATCCGTGAACTGCCATTCAATTTTTTTTTCCAATCTCTACCCTCATACCTGAACTCCAGAGTAGAACATTTAGTTTTTCCTTTCAACTCTAGTTGAAAATGTCTAGACAATATGCAAGCAGAGCTTGGGATTTCTTTCCCAGACTTATTCCTTCTTAGTCCCTCTCTATCGTAGGTAGTGGTGCCTAACATTCAGATATTTGGGACAAAAACTTAAAGGTTAGTTTTATTTTCTCCCACCCAGGCAATCAGGAAGCCCTATCTACTGTTTCTCCAAAATGTATCCCAAATAACATAGTGGTTAGGAGAGCCAGGCTGCCTCCGTTTAAATTCTGGCTCAGTCTTGAGCAAGTCGACATCTGTGACCCAGATTCCTCATCTGTTACATGAAGTTAAAATAGTATATACCTCCTAGGATTGTAAATATCTGAAATGTAGTACTCAACTGAATTAGTATGTGCAAAGTGCTCAGAACAGTGCCTCGCATTTAATGAGTGGTCAGTAAATGTTCCTTGTCCCCAGTATGGATGGTGTTAGTAGTTATACTGGAACTGGTAATACCATTACTGCCACTGCTCCTGTAGCCCAAGCCTCTCTTCTCCCTTGCATGGACTACTGAGATAGCCTCTTGTACTTTCAACTCTTGGCACTTCTACTGTCCATTCTCTGCATACCAACCAGTATAATCTTTTTAAAAATATAGATCTTGCCTGCTTAAAACCTCCAGAGGCTTCCCATTGCAGTTCTAGTAAAATCCAAACACTTACGTGACCTTCAAGGCCTTTTGTGATTTGACCTCTGCGTGCCTGCCAATTTTACCTCCTCTTACTCTCCAGTCATTCACTAGGTGCTGTGGTTTAAATGTGTCCTGCAAATTTCATGTGTTGGAATTTTTTTTTTTCTTCGTAAGACAGAGTCTCACTCTGTTGCCCAGGCTGAAGTGTAGTGGCACAATCTTGGCTTACTGCACCCTCCGCCTCCTGGGTTCAGGCGATTCTCCTGCCTTAGCCTCCCGTGTAGTTGGGACTACAGGCTCCTGCTACCACGCCCGGCTAATTTTTCTGTATTTTTAGTGGATATGGGGTTTCACCGTGTTGGCCAGGCTGGTCTCCTGACCTCAAGTGATCCGCCCACCTCAGCCTTCCATGGGGCTGGGATTACAGGCATGAGCCACTGCGCCTGGCCATGTGTTGGAAATGTAATCCCCAAATTCATATGTTGATTGACAGTGTGGCTTTGGGAGGTAATTAGGATCAGATAAGATCATCAGGGTAGGGCCCCCGTGATAGGACCAGTGGCAAACAAACTCTTGCCCACTTGCCATGTGATGCCTTCCACCAGAAGCCGTGTAGATGCTGCTACCATGCCCTTGGGCTTCCCAGCCTTCAGAACTGTAAGAAGTAAATTTCTTTTTAAAAAATAAATTATCCAGATATTCTGTTACAGCAACAGGAAACAGACTGACACTAGGTTTTATCCACTCTGGCCTTCCCGTCCCTAGCAATTCTCCTGCCATGCTCCCCCCTCCCACCCACTTCCAAGGTCTTTGTACTTGTTATTCCCTATGTCTGGAATGCTCTCCCCTTGGAGCTGACTGGTTTCTTCAAAACGTTCAGGTCTCATCTCAAATGCCACCTCTTCAGAGGAGTCATCCCGGACCATCTGGTTAAAGTAGCTCCTCCCCCATTACCACCTTATTTTTTTATTGCACTTAGCAAATAATGGGATTTGCTTATTTGTGTGTGTGTTTGCCTTAAGTTCACATAGGCAGGGGCTTTTGCTTGTTTATCATTCAAAACAGCATCTAGACCAGAGCTTACGAGTTAGGTGGTGGAGTGCCAAGTCTTCTAAAATGGGGGTCAAGTAGTGTTTTCGTGGCGGGAGCTTCATTTCCTAGACAGCCTCTTAATAGTCTGAAATGTGCAGCTCATAGTTATTAGGAAGTGTTTGCACTTTGGAAAAATGTCCTTGGAAATTTCTTCCTTTTCTGTTTCTGAGTCACAGATTGTATTTTAAATTGTTCTAGAAGGAAAAGTGTTTTAACCCAGTTGTAGTGACCGCTAGGTGTTTTCTTTTGAACACATACACGCAAACACACACACACACACACATACACAAAACTCTTAGAGTATTAATTGATATGGTAATGTCCCGAGCTCATGTAATATGTACTGTTTCAAAAATAAGACAAATATATTAGCGGTGACATGATTATAACTGCCAGCAAGGAAGGATCATAAAAAGGAGGTCACTTCCTGATTTGTTTAGGAACACCAGCAGCAGCATGCTTCATAAACTGGCTTAGACTTGGTATCTTTCAGTGTTCCAGTTAGTTACCTGCAGTGTACTGCAGTTTTCACTGTTTCTGAGCAGTGATAAGCACTCACAATCTAATGGTCATGTTCTTCATACCCAGGTAAAAGAAGGGCTGAATTTGTGTTCATTGATTTAAATTTAACTCTTAGCCCGAAAGTGTAAAATTTTTGCCATACACTTAACAGTTCAAACTGCTTATGCTAAAATGCTTATGATACAGTAAGAACAGGATGAAAAATCATTTATGTATACATAATCTCAGTTATGCTAAATGTAGATTGAAAGCAGTCTCCAAGGAGGTATGTTAGCCTGTTCATGTTGTTAAGTGGACGGCAGGATTATGGGGGTTTTTCTTAATATTTTTCTGTATTGGGCAAACAAGCATATGGGAATGATTTCTAGGTGGGGCCTGAAGCCATGCCCAGCTCTTGGGTGCCCTTTACAGCCAGTATATGAGGCACACACCCATGGCAGATTGTCCTGGCCCTTACTTATGACTGAACCTCTAGTAGCAAGAGCTACTTTATACCAGTGCAGCCCAAAACCAGGGGTGTCCAATCTTTTGGCTTTCCCGTTTACATTGGAAGAAGAAGAATGGTCTTCGGCCACACATTAAATACACTAACGATAGCTGATGAGCTAAAAAAAAAAGAAAAACGCATGTTTTAAGAAAGTTTACGAATTTGTTTTGGGCATTCAGAGGGCTGCATGTGCCCCAAGGGCCACAGGTTGGACAAGCTTGGCCTAACGCATTCCTCAAGGTTAAGTCAGACTGCTAACATTTGTGTATTCATTCATTTAACGCTTTTGCACTAAAAGGCTGATTAGCCAGTCATGTTATTTACATTATTTACATGGACATGCCCTGAACTCACTGCTCCTGGTACGCTAGAGAAGAAGACTCATATTAAACAACTATTAAGTTGGTACAAAAAGTAAATGCGGTTTTGCCATTGAAAGTAATGGCCAAAACCACAGTTACTTTTGCACCAACCTAATACATATGCAGGCAATCTCAACTTGTGATAAGGGTTATGAAAGAAAAGTTATCAGATGGCTATCTGAGAGCTCAGAGCAGAGTAGAACCTAATTTAGGTTGAGAGTTTCAGGTAAGACTAAAACCCAAAAACCAAGAGGAGTTAACCAGATAGAATAAGAACATGCCAAACAGAGGAAGCCGCATGGCAAAGGCTAAGAAGCATGGAATAATGAAGAGCAGAAGGAGACCAGTATGGGTCTGATACAGCTGAGCTAGAAAAGATTGGCCCAAGATAGGGAGGGAAACAGGAGGGACAGGGTTCTGGGAGCTGCAGCTTAGGAAAGCTGTTTGTGTCTGAAGCAAGTCAAAGAGTTGTTGAGGACAAGGACAAGGAGTGCAACCCCTCAACCCCTAATAATAAAAAGTCTCTTTGCTTGGGTCTCCACACACATTCAGAGTGTTTGTTGTGGCCTCAAAGGATCTTTTCTGAGGCCAAGTAAACATAGCCCAAGGTAAGTGGACTCACATCACCACTACAACTTCTGTAAGAACCTGGCTTCTTCACACTGAGTGTAAAAATGTATTAAACAGTGCATGCTCTGAGAAAAGTGAAGGCATGCCAGATGCAAGTATTTAAGATAGATTGGCCATCCACCCCAAGAAACAGATGTTCCAGTGATCTGCTAGTTGGGGTATACAATGTTGGATTCTGTTGATAATTCTACTACCAAGTTGTTGGGATGGGATGTCTTCTTCTATAAAACAGTACTAAGTAAGCCTTTCAATAAGGTCCGTAATGTGAGGCATGATGTAGTGAACGCATTAGCAGTCTTTTTTGGTCACTTGTTTCTTACTCAGGAGAAACATCTTGGCCAGGGTGGCTCAGCCTATAATCCCAACACTTTGGGAGGCCAAGGCACGCAGATCATTTGAGGCCAGGAGTTCAAGACCATCCTGACCAACGTGGCAAAACCCTGTCTCTGCAAAAACTAAACAAGCATGGTGGTGCGCACTTGTAGTCCCAACTACTCGGGAGGCTGATGCACGAGAATCGTTTGAACCTGGGAGGTTGAGGCTGCAGTGAGCTGAGATCATGCCACTGCACTCCAGCCTGGATGACAGAGTGAGACTCCATCTCAAAAAAAGGGAAGAAACATCCCTTTGATTATTGCCGATATAGATTAGTGTGAAAACAAAGAGATCCTTTAGCCTGCTTTCATACCTATGTGGATATATTGCCGTTAATACCCCATTATTGTCAGCATGCGGGTTGTACTGGGAGATTTTCACTTTTGATTACAGCTCATTACTAAAACCCAACTACTTTAACTGAAATGCCCTTGAGTCATAGGCTCGTTTTATTGCCGTGGTCTCCAATAAGTGGTTTATGGTTCTTCCCTTCAGTGAGCATACTTCATTTGCCATTCTGTTTAAAATCACTACAGATTGAAATCTAGTATATTGAACTCTAAGGACCTATCTCTTTCCTACACTGGAATTCTGAAGAAGAATATACTGAGCATTACTTATTCTTTCATTCTTCTTAGATTCTTCCTAATCATTTGGAGAAAACTGTGACACGAGATGGCTGCAAATAAGCCCAAGGGTCAGAATTCTTTGGCCTTACACAAAGTCATCATGGTGGGCAGTGGTGGTGTGGGCAAGTCAGCTCTGACTCTGCAGTTCATGTACGATGAGGTAAGTGCTAATTTTATAATGGATCAAAGTTTAGACTTTCAGAGAGTATTTCCCTAGCTTGGTTTTGGTGCTATTTTTTATGGATTCTTTGAATCCATGAAGCTACTAATAATTTTTTTCCCATTTTTGTGTTTAGAGCCAACATCTGTATATAACTTAACAAGTCGTGAACTTAAGGTCCTTGAAAACCTCATGCTTTAAAAACTAAACTAAACTAAAAACAGTACCCATTTTTGAGTAATCTAACTTTAGCTTTTTTGTTTTTAGGTTTTATTGGAGATTCCTACCTTTAATTAATAGAAGTGGTGGGTATAATACTTAATAGAGACTGGAGGTTAACATATATAAAATAACTTTTAATAGCCTTGATTAAGAAGTCAGTTATTTATTGTGTGTTTGGCATGGCATTACACTCATCGTTAAATAGGTAAAGGTCATATCACGAAAATTTGTGTTACTGCACAGGTTACAGATTCATGTTCATGTAATTTATATCAGGCCTGATAAGAATAACCCTTAGTTAAGGTGTAGCCTGTATACAGCAATACCGTCTTTCCCTGGAGGACTTACCGATTCTTCATGATTTAAGAGTTGGTAATTTAACGTAAACATTTATCCTCACTTCTGTTTCCTCCCAATAAAAACCAGGTTTAATGGCTGTAGAAAACTTAGTCCTCATGACAATCTTGTGTGGGAGATGGTGGTATCCCCATTTTACAGATGTGAAAACAGAACCTCAGAAAGTTACTGAACTTTCCTAAGAAAAGTGATCTGTGATGAGCAGCAAAGTGTTAAACCCAGTCTTTTGACCAAAAAAATCCCTACAGATTTTTCCCACCCCCTGTCCTTTATCTTTTTTTTTTTTTTTTTAACCTTTTATTTTTTTCATATAGAGACCAGGGTCTCGCTCTGTTGCCCAGGCTGTTCTTGAGCTCCTGGGCTAAAGCAGTCCTCCTACCTTGGCTTCCTAAAGCTGTAATTACAGGTGTGAGCCAGTGCACCCAACCCCCTGTGTCTTTTTCTACTGCCTGTGTCTGACTATTCTTTTTACACACATAAATAAAACCCCTAAGTCTATCAGTTGCCATGCTTGTTGATGACTGAATTAAAAAGTTTAGGGAAGGTGTAAGCAGGAGAATCACTTGAGGCTAGGAGTTTAAACTAGCTGGGCAATAAAGTAAGACCCTATGTCTGTGAAATATTTTAAAAATTAGCTGGGCATGGTGCTGCATGCCTGTTTTCCTAGCTACTTAGGAGGATGAGGCAGGAGGATCGTTTGCATTGGAGGTTATAGTGAGCAATGACTGTGCCACTGCACTCCAGCCTAGACGACAGAGCAAGACCCCTGTCTCTTAAAAAAAAAAAAAAAAAGTTTATGGAGAGAGGATTGAAATGTTACTTTAAATGAAATTACTGATTTATTTGTTCAATTCTGTTTTTGTTTAAGAGCTAATCTTGTCTCAAACTAATCCTTAAATCAGTCTTCTCCTTGACAATAAGGAAGCCAAAAGTAAAAATATTCACATGCCTAATCTTCTTTTTAAGATAACGTCTCACTCTGTCGCCCTTGCAATGGTGCAGTCTCAGCTCACTGCAACCCCTGCCTCCCAGGGGAGGCATTTCAAGCCTTCCAAGTAGCTGAGACTATAGGCACGTGCCACTACGCCCG